AAAATCCCAATTGGGGTTTTTATTTTATTTCCCTTTGAGGAAATTTGGGATTTTGGTGTTTTTAAAGGGTTTTAGGATGAATTTTCTGCCTCATTTAAAGTTTCCTGAGGGATAAAAAATCCCAATTTGGGTTTTATTTCTCCTCAATTTGATGAAATTTAGAAAAAAATCCCAATTGGGGTTTTTATTTTATTTCCCTTTGAGGAAATTTGGGATTTTGGTGTTTTTAAAGGGTTTTAGGATGAATTTTCTGCCTCATTTTGAGAATCCTGAAGGATAAAAAATCCCAATTTGGGTTTTATTTTCCCTCAATTTGAGAAAATTTGGGATTTTGGTGTTTTTAAAGGGTTTTAGGATGAATTTTCTGCCTCATTTTGAGAATCCTGAAGGATAAAAAATCCCAATTTGGGTTTTTATTTCCCTCCCCTTTGAGGAAATTTGGAATTTTGGTGTTTTTAAAGGGATTTAGGATGAATTTTCTGCCTCATTTAAAATTTCCTGAGGGATAAAAAATCCCAATTTGGGTTTTATTTCTCCTCAATTTGAGGAAATTTGGAATTTTGGTGTTTTTAAAGGGTTTTAGGATGAATTTTCTGCCTCATTTAAAATTTCCTGAGGGATAAAAAATCCCAATTTGGGTTTTATTTCTCCTCAATTTGAGGAAATTTGGAATTTTGGTGCTTTTAAAGGGGTTTTAGGATGAATTTTCTGCCTCATTTTGAGAATCCTGAAGGATAAAAAATCCCAATTTGGGTTTTATTTCCCTCAATTTGAGGAAATTTGGAATTTTGGTGTTTTTAAAGGGTTTTAGGATGAATTTTCTGCCTCATTTAAAATTTCCTGAAAGATAAAAAATCCCAATTGGGGTTTTATTTTATTTCCCTTTGAGGAAATTTGGAATTTTGGTGTTTTTTCAGGGTTTTAGGATGAATTTTCTGCCTCATTTAAAATTTCCTAAAACATAAAAAATCCCAATTTGGATTTTATTTCTCCTCAATTTGAGGAAATTTAGGAAAAAAATCCCAATTGGGGTTTTTATTTTTCCTCAATTTGAGGAAATTTGGGATTTTGGTGTTTTTTCAGGGTTTTAGGATGAATTTTCTGCCTCATTTAAAATTTCCTAAAACATAAAAAATCCTAATTTGGATTTTATTTCTCCTCAATTTGAGGAAATTTAGGAAAAAAATCCCAATTGGGGTTTTTATTTTATTTCCCTTTGAGGAAATTTGGGATTTTGGTGTTTTTAAAGGGTTTTAGGATGAATTTTCTGCCTCATTTAAAATTTCCTGAGGGATAAAAAATCCCAATTTGGGTTTTATTTCTCCTCAATTTGAGGAAATTTGGGAAAAAAATCCCAATTGGGGTTTTTATTTTTCCTCCCTTTGAGGAAATTTGGGATTTTGGTGTTTTTAAAGGGTTTTAGGATGAATTTTCTGCCTCATTTAAAATTTCCTGAAGGATAAAAAATCCCAATTTGGGTTTTATTTCCCTCCCCTTTGAGGAAATTTGGAATTTTGGTGTTTTTAAAGGGTTTTAGGATGAATTTTCTGCCTCATTTTGAGAATCCTGAGGGATAAAAAAGCTCCGGATGAGGCAGGGATGGAGGAAAAGGAGCGGGAATATTTTTTGGGAATATCCTGAGGGATAAAAAAGCTCCGGATGAGGCAGGGATGGAGGAAAAGGAGCGGGAATATTTTTTGGGGATTTCCTGAGGGATAAAAAAGCTCCGGATGAGGCAGGGATGGAGGAAAAGGAGCGGGAATATTTTTTGAGGGCTCCAGGGATGGGAATCCGAGGAGCTGAGGGGAAAATGAAACCCCGCGCCCGTGAGGGCTGGAAAAGGAGGAGAATTCCCGCTCTTTCCCTGTGGGGAAACACAAGGAGAGCCCCCCCCTCATTCCCATTCCCATTCCCTCCGGGAATCCCGGGCGCGGTCGCCATGGGAACGGGCCGAGCCGCCCATCCTCAGGCCCTCAGCGCCGGCCGAGCCTCACCTGGTGCCGCCATCGGAAGAGACTGGCGGTGTCGATGTTGGGGTGAGTCTCGTCCTCGTCGTCCGAGACCTCGATGTGGTCCCACACGCTGTAATCCACCATGGCGCGGCCGCCGCGACCCTCCACCGCCCGCCCGGCCCGGCCGCTTCCGCCCGCGCCTGACGCACTTCCGGCAGCGCATGACGCACTTCCGGCGCCACGCCCTTATTCCCGAGCATGCGCGCTGCTTGATGGAAGCAGCCCGCTTCAAAGATGGCGGCGGATTTAAAGAGACACGAACATCACTACCACCCTAACCTGAGGATCCCTACAATGCGTTTTATCCGAGATTATTATCATTATCATTAGTAGCAGTAGTAGTAGTAGTAGTAGTAGTAGTAGTAGTAGTAGTAGTAGTAGTAGTGTTATTAGCATTATTAGTATTATTAATTAATTATTAATATTATTAGCATCATTAGCATTATCAGCATTTTTAGCAATTAGCATCATCATTACTACCATTATTATCATTATTATCATTATTATTATCACCACCACCATTATTACCATTATTATCATTATTATCACTATTATTATTATCATCATGCTTATTGCCATTATTATCATTATTATAATCATTATTATCATTGTTACTATTAATATAATCATCATTATTATGATTATTTTGAGATGAAATTAAAGGAAAATAGTATTTTGAAGGATTTTAAAGGTTTAATTCAAAGGAAAATCCTGCCTCTTCCATGATTTCAAGAGGTTTAATGGACCGGGAATTCACGTTTTCTGTTATTTTAGGGATTCTGTTGAGGGCAAATCCAACTTTTTTGTCGTTTCACTGGTTGAATTGAGGAGGAAACTCTGTTTTCCGTCATTTTTAAGGGTTTAAATTGAAACTTTAAATTTTAAATTGAAATTTATGGGCTTTTTTTAAGAGTTCCATCAACAGGGGCCCTCCGGTTTAAGGAAAACCCCACATTTTTTACCATTTTTAGGTTTTGTTTTGGAGGGAGACCCTCTTTATCCGCTATTTTAGGGGTCTAAACATCATTTTAGGGGTCTAAATATGCAGGGAAGCCCTTTTTCCATTTTTAAGAGTTAAACTGAGGGGGGAAAAACCCTTTTTTTTCATGATTTTAAAGGGTTTAACTAGAGGGGTTTGATTAATTATGAGGGAAAATGGTGGAAAACGTGAGGGGGGAAAAAGAGCGGGAAACGTGAGGGGAAAAAGAGCGGGAAAATGTGAGGGGAAAAATAACGGGGATGTGAGGGGAAAAAGAGAGGAAAACGTGAGGGGAAAAATGGTGGGAACGTGAGGGGAAAAGAGCGGGAAAATGTGAGGGGAAAAATAATGGGAATGTGAGGGGAAAAGAGCGGGAGTGTGCGGGGAAAAAGCAGGAAACATGAGGGGAAAGAGGGCAGAAAATGTGAGGGGAAATGGGCGGGAAATGTGAAGGGAAAAAGAACGGGAGCGTGAGGGGAAAAAGAAGGAAACATGAGGGGAAGAAGTGAGGGGAAAAGAGTGGGAAACGTGAGGGGAAAAGGGCAGGAAATGTGAGGGGAAAAAGCAGGAAACGAGGGGGAAAGAGTGGGAAATGTGAGGGGAAAAGAGCGGGAAAATGTGAGGGGAAAAATAACAGGAATGTGAGGGGAAAAAGAGCGGGAAACGTGAGGGGAAAAGAGCGGGAAACGTGAGGGGAAAAATAACGGGGATGTGAGGGGAAAAAGAGAGGGAAACGTGAGGGGAAAAGAGCGGAAAACGTGAGGGGAAAAGAGCGGGAGTGTGCGGGGAAAAAGCAGGAAACATGAGGGGAAATGGGTGGGAAACGTGAGGGGAAAAGGGCAGGAAATGTGAGGGGAAAAAGCAGGAAACGAGGGGGAAAGAGTGGGAAATGTGAGGGGAAAAGAGCAGGAATGTGAAGAGAAAAAGCAGGAAACGAGGGGGAAAGGGTGGGAAATGTGAGGGGAAAAAGAGCAGGAAACGTGAGGGGAAAAAGAGCGGGAAACGTGAGGGGAAAAAGGGCGGAAAATGTGAGGGGAAATGGGCGGGAAATGTGAAGGGAAAAAGAACGGGAGCGTGAGGGAAAAAGAAGGAAACATGAGGGGAAGAAGTGAGGGGAAAAGAGTGGGAAACGTGAGGGGAAAAAGAGAAAATGTGAGGGGAAAAAGAGCGGGAAAACGTGAGGGGAAAAAGAGCGGGAAAACGTGAGGGGAAAATGGCCGACGCTCCCTCAGCCGCCCATTCCTGGTAGGATGTGCCCTCCCAGCCAAAATCCCAGACATTTCTGACTTTTAGATTTTTTTATTGATTTTTCCATGAAAAATACAAAGAGTCGAGTCCAGGGGTGGGGGCCAGGGAGGTCC